ACTGCGCATGCGCGTTTTACCCATATTCTATCGCGATATTTCATTTTCCTATCGTTGCCCAAAATTACACCGGTATTACCGTGAACGGTATGATATAGCCCAGCCCTAATACTCACCTATCAAATCTGTGGGATTCTTCTCATTGAAGTGTTCACAGAGCCTGATGAACATCTCAGTGGTCTCTTCTGAAGGACACTCCCCATGGCTAAAAAGGTACAGGATGACATTAGTATTCAACACATTAACATTCACAGTTCTGCAAAATGATGAATTTGGACAGTTAGTTTGTGACAATGCTTTTTAATCTTACCCCTTACACTGAAGCTTCATATATTTTATCCCTTCTTTTTCAATTTCACTGCGGTCATAAAAGCGAGTCGTGTTCGTCAAGTCTACGAGCAAACCCATTTTCACCTGAGGAGGAGAGAAATGGGCACTGTGAGGAAGGTTTTCTGTGCCACTTTAATATTTCTGTCCTTGCTGAGGGTACTTACCTTTAGACTTTTTAAATAGTTGGACAGCATGCTCGGATTAAACCTGTTCTCCTCTGCAACTTGGTCATCATATCTGGGACCTAACATCGTTTTCATTGGCAGGAATTTCTCTAAGAAGAAGAAATATAATGAATGAAACAAAAATCCAGCAGTATTCTAGTATTAAAACTCTTCTTGTAAACTAATCTTGTGTGAGCAGGGACAGCAGCTTTGTCCCTAATTTAATGACTAGTTTTTAGGGTTACGGCTAAGAGTCTAACTTCATACCACGTCAAATCTACAAATTCAGATAAATCAATAAAAAACATAAATAAATAAATAAATCAAATCACTGACTAAGTATTTGTCAAGGTCACATTCAATTAAGCATTAGACAGCACCCCAAGTGCATTTGTTTTGTAAAGAACTCTGTTAATAGCCAATAAAACTGTGGATCCATTTGTGTAAACTACACTGAATTTCTTAGAATAAAAGCCTGGATTAAAAAGTGCCACCAACTCCAGCTGTGCCTTCAAACAGAGCATCTGTGTAAACTGTTGCACTGTTATAAAGTTGAGGCGGAGAGGAGACAAGCCTGCAATTGCAGGTTTTACAGAAATGTCTCAACATCACATAACTGTAATGATAACAATGATGAATGGGCGAAATAAAACAGTAACACCAATCCTTTTGTATAAAGTGTTAACAAGACAGCCTTGCATCACTTAAGACTGGGAACTTAGATCAATCCACTTGCACTGTCCAACTTTGACCTTATAACTTCCTTCTACTTATGTTGGGCTGTTATTTTGACAGTTGCACATTGCAATAAGGAATACATATAGGAACAGATCTATACAGATCCACAGTCCATACTGGCATTCGTATCAACGCAGTTTTATCCACATCTATCCTTTCAAGCCTGTCACATCAATCAGCTGGCAGCTGTGCTATTAATACAGAACATAATGTAGCACATCAAGTGACCACAGACTTACAAGCCACGCAGAATTTTGTGCAATATGATGAAAACAGTCACAACTAAAATTAAATCCAGCTACAGTCAGTTAAAACATCTAATAACTGTATGAAACTGGTGGAAGGTGAATTCTCCGATACTTTGGTTAATTTTTTTCTCAGTTATTTTTGGATCTTAAAAGAAACCTGAAGCTCAAAAACAGATGTAGCAGCTGATGGGTGCATACCTAAGATAAAGATAAGAGAAGATAAGATTTTATTGATCCCACGGCGGGGAAATTTGTGCGTTACCACAGCTCAGGTACAGATAGCAGAAGAATAGAAAGACTATACCAGAATAACACCAAAATACCTGCTGGAAATCATAGTATTATCAGACAAAAACAGCAATTGCAATAACAGTTAAGAGTTTATAGATTATAAAAAACAAAAGAGAAAGAAAAGTGGCATTCAAATACATTAAAAAAATAAAATGCTTCTCGTGCTAAACGCCTCTCAGCATTAGTAACGTGTCACACACTTATGGTCGCCGTGAGCTCCTCAAGCCATAGCCCCGGTTTGTTTGGACACGTGATTCTTTGACGGTGAAGCATACCAACTTAGCAGCACTTTTCTGAAGCTCTTTTTAAAACTTTTTCTTTTAAAACTAATGGACTACCATACGTTGTGTTTGTTCAACATTAAAGTCACCCTAAAAGCTGATAAGAAGCGGAAAACATTGCTAAATAGTTACCGTTAGCGACCTAGCAAAAAGAGCGCGCACGAAGAGTGTCAGAGAAATTTCCATTTAAAAAAAATGCCAAAATTAAGTTAATTTCATATAAATACCAAAAGAACAAACCCTTTTAACTAAATCAAGCTTACAAAATATGTTGACGTCATTCAATGAAATCGGCGCTTTGATTTACACTTCATTTAAAAGATAACGCATTCATTTTTACAACAGAGAAACAGAGCTTAAATATGTGATAATCTTTCTGTACTTAAAGACCGAACATGGACCAACACAGCCCATTACTGCTACTTAAATCTGACAGTCTAAAATAATAAATAACTGATATATATCAGGCAACAAGCATCACAGCAACACCACTGAACGAAGCTAACTAGTAGCAATAGCTTCATCTGGTAAATAAAACACTATTCTCTTAGTTAAATTCACACTAACCTGCCACAAGTTGCCCTCTTCTAGGACAATTGCGCCATCGAGGAGGAGGTCCGTTATTTGACATGTTGAGTTGAGGTTGGTAATATCTAAAAGCCTCTAATATCAATAACCCCGTTGCTTGATGCTGCTTCTCTCCCCCACAGCAGATGCTGGGTAGATATTCACCCGAGCACTGCGGACTCAGGGCCCTTTAGCTCCTAATTCAGGAGAATCAGCCAGCAGGTTTAAGCCCGGTTAACCTTCTGACAGACTAGGAGGCATTTTACACGAAACGCAGGCTGTTCCGATCCACTGCAGATCAGCCTCTGAAGAAATTCAGCTATCTTTTTCATTTGTCTACCATAAATCTAGGTTTTTAGCAATCAGCTAGCAACACCTCAGTGATCCTTTTTCTTCTTCTTCTACTGGTGTTTTTATACGGCGGCAAATCGTATCCGTGCATTATCGCCACCCTTTGGACTGAAATGGTTGCTGCAGCAGCTTGAAAGCTTGTTCATTTATTTACAAAGAAGAAAAAAAACACAAAAAACCCACAAACGTTCTTACCTTATTCTTTTGTTTATTTGTCAACACTGCTTTAAATTGTAATTTATTTATTATTTATATTCTTCAGTTTGATGGTGAGTAAATGCTCCAAAATTTAATTCTGATTCTAACTGGTTTATATTCTGAATGACAATAAAGTGGTTATTCTATTCTATTCTATTCTATTCTATTCTATACTATCCTATTCGTGTTTAGCTCCTCTCCTCTTTATGTAGACCTATAGTTCTTTTTTATTTCCCCAACCTGTTGACAATACTCAAAAATGTGTAATCGTTTCTTTCTGTCTTTATATTTCATACCTTTCTTTTGGTATATTTTGACAGATTTAGATGTCTTTGATTGATTATCTGTTTTAGCTGTGGGGTAGATATTACTTGGCTTAAAAAACACATATAATATCCTGTATCTCTAGTATTTATTTTATTGCATGTTGTCTCATGTCTTTTGGCTCTGTTTTGAAAGGTTTTCAAAAGTTTATTGGCAACTTCAGCAGATCTCTTTACACCAACCAGATCAAGTGAAACGAAAATTTGCCAACTGCATCAATGATGGAAACCCCCTGTAACACCACCTCCTAAAGCTGCTATTTTGGATTGAGTTCTGATGATTGTTGAGGCCATTTGAATACAGGGAACTCACTGTCATGTTGAAGAAATTAGTTTGAGATGATCTGAGCTTTGTGATATCGTGCCAAAAAATGTCCCACATAACCATACGCCAGCAGCAGCAGCCTGCACCACTGATACAACCAGGATATATCCAATCCTGTTGTTTATGCCAAATTCATGCAGGAGTTGAGTGTACACCACACAACACCATAGAACACTGGTGTATGTGTGCATAATTTAGCTTGAAATATTAACACATTTTTCCCTTCCAGTCTAACAGTGCATTAGTGGAAAATATAAGTGAGCTGGCTCACTTCCTTATGAATGTGTACTGTGGTTTCTCCAATTACACTCAGTGCCATGCACATTACAAAGCCTTGCTCACACTAATATATGACTACATGCAGAATATTTCAAACATTTTGTCATCAAATAACAAAACAGGGTGTCAAGTACAACATTTATTCACTTTATTTCATACTTTTTTGTTTTTGTCTGTTTACGAGACATATGGCAAAGACGCTTCTGCGCGGTAAATATTTATCAACACAACAACAAAATTTACATTTTAATGACTCCTCCAGTTTACAAATGACACAAAGCGGTAAAGCAAAAAAAAATAAATGCAGCGAGTCACACCTCAACAAACATCAAGCATATAATACATGGCTAAAATATTTACAACAAAATATCACAATACTATAATACAGACTATACATAAAACCAGGATCAGTGTCATAGCAAAGCATGTCTAGAATGCTAAATCCTGGGAACACTATATCATATTTTCAGTGGTGATAACTCATATCCTTAAATCTTTTCATCTCTTCACATTAAATGAAACCTATTCTTGCTGTACGGCTGAATACATTAAGATGACCTAATAAAGCAGCTACTACATACATAAAAACGGTTAAACATGTTTGTATCCTGTTGTTCCACAGTGCTAGGCAACTTAATGACACACACACACAGTCATATCAATCCATATCTATTTCTTTCACAGCTGACTGACTGCAAATCTATCTGCATCATTTACCTTCACTGCTCTCACCTGTTATGATCTTGTTCAATCATGTCTAATGTGACATATATGGTCTTAAGTAATGCCCTTTCTTGCTGTTTTACTGGCACATGCTTACTCGGTTTTGCAGTCTCTGGGACAGGACTCTCCACAGAACTCTGACTTCGATAGGGGTTGGCTGTGCTGCTCTCTGAGGAAATTAATGCAGTGGATTCTCCAGGAGAGGGAGGCGTCTTTGCAGGTTCAACTGGACTTTCATCCTCCGTATAAAGACCAAGACTCATTCCTGAGTTTGCGTAGTCCACTATGTATTCACTGGCTGTGTTAGTATCATCGCCTGTAACTAATGAAGGGGTAGATGTGCTCTGCGCTTTCTCTGGGTATACTGTATCACAGTGGCTTTCAGATGGATTTCTGAATGGCTGGAAGCAGATTCCCTATGGATACAAACACACAGACAGAAGGGAGCCGTAAAACAAAAAGCTAGGATGAATTACAGCAGCTTTTATATATTATCAAGACTCGGGCATGGATTGTTTCTGTAGCCAGTGAAAGCTAAACCCTACATAGACATGATAACTCAGGATAGAGGACCTCTGGAAGAGGGAAGATGTTAAAGGAGTCACAGTGCATGGACACATAAATGAGTTCAAGACAGAAACTTCAAACTATGACAAAAAACATCTGTAAAAACCAGTGTGCCGTTCCAGAAAGCAGGTTCAACAAACTCGGGAACAAAGCATAAACTCTGAGTTGCTATTAACTCAGAGAGTTGAAACAGCCCTGATTATGTTCAGCCTGAGTGAAGAATGCATGCGTGAAAGAGGATAGCAATCATCGGTGAAGCTCTGATACCAGGATTCCCCATGGCAACAGGTAAATAAAGAGCAGCACATGAATGCTTATGAATCTGGACCGTGATAGCTATCATAAAAAAAACATGAGGGGAGAAAAAGGTAATTTAAAATCCTCCAACTTGAATTGTTTTAATCGCTGAAGCTCAAATTCCACCAAATTTTACATTTGATTTTTAGATCAGATTTTTCAGTTGTAATCTGACAAATTACATAAAATGAAAACTGAAGAAATGGAGCAAACACATAAGACAGTTTATTCATGGACCTGCGATATCCGTCAGCCCAGTAAGATTGATTTTGGAGATTATCATTGGGAGTAGTTGAGGAATTTACAGACATCGCACCTTACTAAATGTTGCTCAATGTTATTTGACTGTATTTCAGTGCATGACTATACTCAAACCCAAAGTGCCATCAGAACATATTAGAGCTCTCTGCATTTATGCAAACATAGCATATCAGCACAAATATTCATGTGAGTCACTGAATAGAGTCAAATGTAAGGCCATCTGCCCCTAGAGATAAAGCTAAGCCCAGCTCTAAAGTTACACACTATGTATCGCACCATCATTGCATTGTAAACGTGCATATATGGATTTGGTAATACAAAGAATGTATGCATATTTTTATACTTGAGCCTAATCTGTCTTCACTGCTAGAACTGTGACTACAAAAATACAGAACACACCAAAAATACTTGTTCAGTCAAACTAATTTCATAATACTAATTTCTGACAAACTAAAGGGATTTTTGTTTCTCCGTGGGATACTAATTTGTAGACCGTGGGATACTAATTTTTATAGTTTTTAATAAACCTGATCAGAGTGCTGAGTGCTTATTTCCAACTGGGGTTTTATGTTTTGTCAAGCCAGCTAAGGCAAAGAAAGCCTGGTTGTGTTGAACTTCCTTTATAATACAGGCCTCAGGAAGTCTGGGGGGAAACTGTTTAAGATAATATTCAGAAAACCACTTTCAGGACAACGGAAAATACCAATTATTATTTTTTATAAATCCGGCCGCCAGATTTTGGTAGTTAACTTTTTGATTAAATCACAGAATCCTTTTTCAGATCTCAGAAATTTGAGGTGAATGTGCAACGATCAAGAAAAAAACATCTTAAACAGCTTTTTTCATTCAACACAACAAAGTCAGAGAGACTCAGTTTGCTGACACATATGACAAGGTAAAACAGAAAACCCTCACACTGTAAAATGTGAAATTAAAGTAAATTACCGAGTAGTCACTTTAGCAGAAATATAGAATAACATTCAGCTTCTCTACAATTCAAGAAAGCACAAACTGATGTATTTCTACCTTTTTTTGCTTGATAATGAAAAACCTACAATTTAATCATGCAACTTCTTCAGCAACATTAATGCAGATATAATGCATCCCACTGGACAGCCTCAGATAATAACACACATAGTGAAGTTAAAAACAAGCAGAGACACAAGAGCACAAAGAAAATCTAGAAAACCCATGTGGACAGACACAACGACTGGACTATTTATACACCAAGGAGTGATTTGAGATTAGAAACGGGGAAAAAGACAGGACAAAAAAAAAAATCTGAAAACTAAAAAAAGACAAATGAGAAAGCAATCTAAAAAAGTAAAAATGAGAAGAGGAAACAATAACTCAAAAGCCTAAACTACATGTGAAAATATCACCGCCCCATCCCGCAAAATTCAGCATTATAAATCAAGGGCCATGACATCCTCGTCACCTGTTGTTGACTTTGCGACGCCCAAACACCCACAGAGCTGAGGGCTGGATTTGGCACGGGCTTCTCCTGGAATTTCTTCCATCTAAACAAATAACACACATCATTAACACATCGTTAGGAAGAAATCTGTAGAAGTGTTTGGTGCCAAAAATGTAATCACAACATGACCATAATTAAGTGTCTTAACACATCAGAGCCTGTCTTCCACTATTGATGGCCTGGAAATGTTTTTGGTTCAGTGTTTGCATTCAAAAGGAGCTCATAACAAATCGTCAGTAACAAAAAGAGACTGAAACTTACTGAACAGCAAAGCATAATCCGAGAAATAACACCAGGAAGATGATAACGCTTCCAGCGACACAGAGTGGAGTAACAAGATCCGGATCTGTTAAAGACATTTCAATTGATCATTGAGCACTTTGCAGAACAGACATTAAACACTCTTAAAAAAAAAATCACTGACTGGATTTATACAGTTTTAAATAACTAGTATTACCACAGCAAAGAACAAAAAAGTTCATAACATTCGGTTTAATTCAGATACTAGTCCAGTGAGTCATAACATTAGAGGTTAGGATCTTAGTTCTTAGCACGCAAACAAATATTTTGACACTGATCAACCATCGGCTGGCAATCTGTC